TCTTCTTTGGACTTATGCTTTGTCGAGGTGGTAACCTTTGCAGCAGCGTTGTCTTGGGGTTGAAGTTGTTGAGTAGCGTTTGCATCGACATGACTCTCTTCGACTTGAAGTTCAGCAGTGCCAGCATCAGCATGATCCCCTTCGTCATGTTGTTCCTCTGACAGATCGACCACTTGAATCTCCTTTGGTTGTTGTTCTTCTGTTTCAGCATTGGCTTCATCGTTCGCCAATTCCTTCTCTTGTGGCCTACTGAGTTCAGCAGAGTCTAGTGTTTCAGAAGTCTTTGGTGCTGAACTTTCAGTGGTTTCCTGAAAATAGAAGAGGAAGAATCTTCTAGTTTAGGAAGAGACACAATCGAACGTGAGTATCGACACCTGTGTTAAAAAATGGTCAGAGAAACTACCTGCAGAGGAACTTCAGCCCCAGGGCTGGAATTATCACTTTTGACGGGTTTATTGAGCAAAACATTTAGCTCCTCCTCCATTGGCTCTTCGATAATCACTGGAGGCGGCCTGGGTTTTCTCCCTGCAACCTTTATTCTGATTGTGGGTCGAGTCTCAGGAGAAGGAGCATCTTTCTTCAGTTTTCTCCGTTTTAGAGGAGCGGGGGGAGAGTCGTCTTCTTCGTCACTCCCAGATTCGACCGTCAGTGCAGGTCGTTTCTTGGGTGAAGGTGCCTGAAAACCAATTGAAGTTCGATTTAGAACGCTACATCGAAAGTCAGAATGTTAAAACCAGAAGGAAATAATAAAAGTTTGGTTACCGGTGCTGAGGGTTTTTTCGAAGGACCTTCCCCCTGATGGCTTGTTGTGGTTTTCGCCGGTGCTGGAGGTTTTGTCAAGGGACCTCCTCCCTGATGGCCTTCTGCAGCTTTCTTGGCTGCAGGCTTTCGAACAACTGAAAGAAGACAAGTTATAATTAACAGGCTACCAGTCGAAATGGAAAGACAAAATAATTTGGAGAGTGAATTTACATTTCTTTATTTTGTTAAGGACTAGAACGAAAGACTTCTGAAGTTCGTCCACAAAGTCTTTCTCGTCGAAGAACTCTTCAGCATAGTAACTCTTCCACCAGTCTTCGAAGGATGGTGAGCAGAGGAAGTTAAGTTGATAATCGAACAGTGAAAGTATTGTTCGACCTGCATACCTGCCAATATGCTTGGTGGCAGCATCTTCAGTATAGTCATTGCAAAAATATAACATGGATTTCTCCCTAGGAAAAATAGGAGAAGGAAGTGATTGAATGATACCAAACTGTCGAGAGACCAAGTTTGGTTGATAAGCGATCAAGCTCAAGTGAGTCTTGGAGCTTTTAAAGCGCAGTGGCATTATTCTAGGTGTGAGAAATGCTTCCCACATTATTGTGTGTTCTTCGACCTGAGGATCACCTGACGACTTGGGATGGGGCCTGGTGAACCATTCTGGACCAACCTTTCGTCGAGCGAAGGGAGCCATGGTCGAAGTGAATTCTTTTCTTTTTGCAAACATCAAGACGAAGTTTGCAAAAGTCTGTTGAAGCTCCAGCCCATCTTCAGTCGGGGTCAGTAGAGCTAATCTGGTGCCTTCGATATGCCTATTTGCTATCTCAGGAGCTTGCTCATTTATTTGAGTCTTCTGAGGTAAGAAAGACTCGAAAGTGGCATTGAGCCACAGCTGAAGTAGCCAAAAAGGTCCTGCAAGCAACAGACTGGTTCTATTTTCGATGATCTTTAACAGAGTCGCTCCACTGCTAATCGACTCGTACAGATTCGCCAAGATTAATTCTGCCAAACAAATATTTTGGCCATGGTGAAGCTGGGTGGCGAGGGTGACCATCTTCTTTGTCACCTGTAAATACTTTGTACAGAACACAAAGCGTGACAGCCAAAGGGCTAGAAACGCAATATGCTCTACATCTGTCACAGTGGCCGTCGACCTATCATGGTATTGGTTGATATAGGTGGTATAGGTGGGTTTCGTAGCTGAGAATCCAATCTAATCCTCCGACATTTCCTCTGGGTCGAAATAATCCCCAGTGGGTCGAAGGCCGGTGATGGCAGCCACGTCGAAAAGCGTGGGGGTTAGCATACCACAGGGAAGGTGGAAAGTGAAATGAGTGTAATCCCAGAAAAGCAAGGAGGCTATCAGCATCTCAGGGGAGTAGTTGAGACCCGTCTTCGACAACATGACTAGGTCGTATATCCCCAAGTTCTTCCAGATCGAAGTCTGGCTTTTTTCCATCTTCTCTAGCCAAGCGCTGTAGTCAGGAGTGAGGCTAGGGCTAGACCTGAAAGCCCTAACACCCCTATTGAAGAAGCGAAGATCTATCTTCTCCTTAGCGGGATCTTCGTTGTCCTCTGCATCTTTTTTAGAGCACCCAACAGGTTTGAGCTTTTCAACCACTGGAAAGAAGTTCTTGATCTTCATGGCTTCATCGATGCATGGGGATAACGGGCCAGACATGGCGAAGATTTGGTTGGAGTATCCAACCGGAATCATTAGTTGGTGTGAATAAGCTTCACGCTCAGCAGTTTCTAGGGGTTCAGGAACCCTTCGTTGGCCTGTAGGGGTAACTATGGGGACAGTTGAGAAGATTTTGGGTTTAGCATTTCTGGAAGGAATGTTAGAACTAGGAGCGTTGGAGGAACCTGAGGCCATTGTTGAGTTAAGGTTGAAGGTGAAGTGAAGAACAAAGTATTTGCAAGTTTGCAGAGATTTTATGTTCAGCAAGGAAGTTTGAATGCAGAATAGCGTGAAAAAGTCCCACAATGGGTACTTAGCGCTATTTATAGTGGTTGGGAAATCCCCAAATTCGAGGCCATTTAATGTTGCAGAAGATAGTGGGACACGTGGCGTCCCCCCGCTGACATAGCCGTTCTGCAGAAATGAAAAGGTGCAGCGTGCGCCCTCGTTTTTGGGAAATTGGCATGATGACAATTTGTGAAAAGACATTGGGCACGCTAAACGCCGTACTGAGGTGATGTCTTAGGTACGGATGAAATGATGGCTTTTTCTTGGGATTGTCAGTGGTTGGTAGAAGACAAAAAGTGCACAGGTTAATTTGTGGCTAAGAATGAAAGACAGGTGTCGAATGGAATTTCAAAGAATGCCTTTTTCTTTTCAGAGTCGAAATAAGGCATTCTTGGGGGGCAATTTGTTGGCTCCTAAATTCGACACCCTTGTTTTTATTAATATAAGCCATTAAAGCTGAAGAATGGTTTCGACCAGTTGGTTCTGTCGAAATGCTCATCAGAAGATGGCAATGTACTTAGAGAATTTCTTCCAAGGAAGAATCTTGTTGCCTTCGACGTCGAAGGTGCTTCTCGACGAAGGTGTTCGATTGCTCAGAGTGGAACGGTTTGAGATTCAAACGTTTGGAGGGAAAACGGTTCCCAACGGTTACCAAGTGCAACGTGCCAAGATCTGGAGCGTCGAACGCTGTGAACGTGCCAAGTGGAGTCATCTCGAAGCAGCGTAACTGCCCGACGGTTACTTGGGATGTGTTTAGTATAAATATTAGTAGTTCACGCAGTTTTTCGCGTGTGTTCACAATTATATACAAGTTACTCATATAGATTCGAGTACCCAGCGTGAGAGAAAGAATTGTTGAGAATGTATGTGTGAAACACCACTTTAATTAATCAAAGTCATTTATTTTCCAGAACTTTATTGCTCTTCATTTACTTTTCCAGTCGAAGCCTTCATTTCAAGCCTTCCTTTATTCTATCAAGTTTTCTTCTTCATGCAATTTACATAAAGCTTCTTTATTTTCTTGTCATTTAACCATTATCAAACTTAGTCAAAACCCCAAAATCAACCATGTCTTAGGATCAATCTGATCGATCCTGCGAGTCACCAAATAAGTAACCTTTTGGAAGATCAGCGGTTGTTTACCAATTCCCACGGTAAACACCTATACACCCTCAATGAGTATGAATTACTTCCAATGAGTTGATTAAGATAGAGCTAAACACAACGAATAATTTGTGGATGAATCAATTTGTTAAACACCTTATGTGCAAAACACCTTAGGTTTGATTTTACTAAATTATAGTGGTGAGTTTTCTTAGATATCAATCAAACAGATCGTTATCAATGCTGTGAAATGATCTCAACACACCACAATTTTAGTACAAGCAAATTTAACAAGTTAATTTCCACAAATTATAGTAATCAAGTATGGAAATAAAGAAAAAGAAGAAGAACACATGATTTGTTAAGGTAGCTCCCTTTGTCGTCCTCGCGTAGGGTACGTCTGCCCCCAATTCTAGAATCTAGAATTGAGATATTTGATATTAAGTTGCAAATGTTACAAGAGAAGAGATAGTTCACAATACAAACAAACCAATGTTGCTGATGTAACAATCTTCTTTCCTTTCCTTGGTTTGAGCCAAACCAAATGCCAAATTCTTCGAACAAACCTCCGGTTACCGCTACTTGATTAAGCAAACCCACTATTTCTTAATCCTTTCACTCGCCTGATTTCGATCGCAAGCAATTTGACCCCAAATCTTCCTTCACAATCCTCCGGTTACCGCCACTTGATTAAGCAAACTCATCGTTTCTTAATCCTTTCACTCGGTTGAATTCGATGAAGCAAAGATTGTGCAAAAACCCCTGCACCAATTGGAATTTTGGAAGAGAAAATCCAAATGATTTTATTCAAGAACAGCCCATAATTGCTCAACCCAAATCTGAATTGAATCTTTGATTTGAACGTTATCACCACAACACTTTTCTTGAATCAACAATCATGATTATGTGTAGATGTTGATTTTTGAGAAGAGAGGATGAAGATGATGAGCACTATGTGTATCTTTCACTAGATCTTGTTAAATTGAAATGATGATACTGAATGAATATATATATATATATATATATATATATATATATATATATATATATATATATATATATATATATATATATATATATATATATATATATATATATATATATGTTACCTAATAGTCAAGACCCAAAAGCATAACAGAAAAACAGTTGAAAACAGCGAGCGGTGGACTCAAGCAGTAAGGGGGGTCGGCGCGACACAACCCACAAGTGGAGGAAAGCCATTTTGAAGTGTAGTGCGTCGACCGCTACAGAGCTTGCGTCGACGCAATATTTGAATATTTTGATTCACAGATTGAGTCGACCGGAAGGGTCGATGTGACACATCCTGCAGGTGGAGGAAAACCATTTTGAAGTATAATGCGTCGACCACTACAGGGCTTGCGTCAACGCAAATAGTTGAATATTTTAATTCCCAGGTTGAGTCGACCGGAAGGGTCGACGCGACACATTCTGAGCTTGGTTGAGAAAGATGAGTCGACCGCACATATCTTTGAGTCGACGCAAACATTGAATTTTCCCAAAAATGAATGTTTCTGGAGATCTTCATTCCAACCATTTCAGAGCAAGATTATTCATAGGACCAACCCAAACAAAGAGTGAGTAATAACCGTTTTGACATCATTAAAACACATATAGAGAAACCTTGCCCCACATACACATTTTAAAATAGTTCCATAACCATCTTCATGCTATCAAAGCTTGTCAAAACAGCTCCCAAATATTGCCGTAAACCTTTGCTTCATGTCCATAAAACCAGAGCACCTGTTATCCAATTCAGAACCGTTCCTACATAACCAAGCAGTTAAATTGGTTCAGAATAATCAACCACAACAATCCAGAAAAGAAGCATAAGTTAGTTGGCATTACCACATCAAAAACAGATATCCAATTGCATCAGTTAAATAACCGGTTTAACACTAAACCAAATTACTCAGCTCATAGTTAACTCATTCCTTGAACCGAGCCTGACATAATCCATCCAAACTTGTCAAATTGAAAATGGAAACAAAAGTTAGCTCTCAAGTCCAAAGCTAATTCCCTATCCAAACCAAACTTAAACTAACCTTCAGCCCAACTAACTAACAGATTCCTAACTTCTTGTTGAAAGTAACTGACTTTTAACAGAATTTTGTTTGTAACTAACTGCAGCTACTAACTGCTCACTAACAGTTCTAACAGAATTAACAGAGTCAGTTAACTATAACTCACCTTCAATCTTCATTATCTCTCTCTCAATCTTTCTCTCTGAATTAGAGTACAAAGGTGTAGTTGAATCAGAATCACGAACAGAGAGAGATGTTGAGGCGGAGAGATCGAACTCGCGAAGGTTGAGTCGCGGCGGCCATGGCAAGCGACGATGAAGGAAGCCGATCAGCGCAAGATGAGGTCGATCGTGATTTTACAACGGCGGAGGAAGAAACAAATCCGAAGTAGATGATGAGATCGAAAACGGATGAAATCGCCGGTGATGGAAATTTGGAGAAGAAGAAGCTAACGCGTGAAACGAAGAAGTCTAAGCGTCACACCAACTTTTATCCCTAACAAAATTCTCCTAGACGCACCGTTTCATATACTGCATCTATCTTTCATTGTTTTTTTAAATTAATTATTTTGTTATTATCTTTTGTAATATAATAGTAATATGTTAATAAATAAAATAATAATATGCTGAAACATCTAGTGATAATATAGTTTGGATTGGTGGCTGGGCCTAACATTCTTGGCCCGTTCTTTGTTTTGGTGCAGCTTTTTGATTGTTGTCAACAAAAAAGCTGCTATTGGATCCAAGCAGATTGGGCTTAGTGCCTAATTATATTGATATTCACATATCTGAATTCAATGGTACACCCCCTCAGTATAGAGATGTTGATGGTTTGTAATTAATTTTTCTTTCAATAGATTTTGATAATTTTGGTAAGAATCAATAAAATAGTGATATAAGAATAAGAAAAATAATGATGATTTTCTTAAGACTTTGTTTAGAAACTCTTTAGAATTTAACAGTGTTATTATTATTTGATAATCATTTTTTAACGATTTGGTAGTCATTTGTTGCTATGTCTTTGCCATAATTTGGTGATGTAATTATTATTGCAATTATGTATGATATTGGTAAGTAAAAAGGATTTGTTGCAGAATTTCAAGAGATATCGAAGTAAGTTAAAAGTGCGATTTTCATCAAGGAAATGTAAGGAGGTTTTTGGTAGAGTTTTCTAATCACTTGCGCGACTTTGAAGAGGCAACAGACTTTCTCCGTTAGATACCACTTGAATCTTTTTTACCTCTTTCTCATGCAGCTGCATCTGAAGTCCTGAAGGTATCTAGGCATTGGCGTTAGACGCAAAGGTGTTGGTTGGCTTTTAAGCTATTTCTTTTAATGCTTATCCTATTTAATTTATTTATTGTTGGTCGACTAGTCACTCAATTATAATTGAGATCACGACTTCGCTCTCAGCACATGTTTCCTTAGGAATAGTCTTATAAACTCTAGGAACTAGTTGACATTTGTATAGTTTCTTTAGCATTCCTTTGCATGATTCCTTTGCAATTCTTCTCCAATATTTTGGAATATATTTGCATGAGCTTTAGGATGTGTACTGGCTTCCTTTCTTAGGCTTCCACCTTGCCTAAGTCATATCACCTTTATATGTTAAGTACTAATGTTATCTTTACACTCTAAGTCTTTAGTGCCATCGAATTTGTTGATTACTCTTGATTTGGTTTGTGATTCCTTAGGGTAGAACCACTTTTGCATGACCCTTATGGGAACATTAATGTTTTGCGTGTGACACATTCGTGCTACTTGATTGATAACTTAAAATGTGCATTAAAGGCTTAGGCTTATTTCATCATTGCTTGCTTGTTAATTGATACACATAGGTGTTTGGTAGGCTTGTAAGCCACCCTTATTTTTTTGTTTACATTCTTGTTATTACCTTTAAATGCTCCCTTAGGTTCACTTGGTTCACTTACAACCAAGGTAGACATTAGGATTTAAAACCGTGCATGCTAACATTAGGTAGCTTTCCCTTTCAATCCTAACTTTAGGACCATTGTATGATAACATCTGGAATAAAATCTCCCTTATATTATTCATTCCCCTTTTGTATTCTACAACTAAAACTCTTTCTTAAAAAAATTCAAAAACACATAATGAGTAAAGATATGTGTCATGTGCCATGAGCCTTAAGTATATGGAGAGGACATCAGATCTGAGGCCTCTCACTCAATCATCTAAAGGTCTTCATGTCATAGTATTGTAACCAAAAATTTTCCATCCCATATTTGATAAAAATTGATTCAAGACACATCCTCATGCTCATAGGAGTCTTAAGTACTCAAGACTACTCAAGGGTTAACCAAACAAACCCTCATCCTAAGCAATTGACCTACAACTAGGGCTTTGTTTCTCTCAAAGTAAATTGAGTTTCTAATGTCTAAAATGGACTTAATGGTTTTTCACATGCTTCAAAGAATCTTCATACCAAATTTCAAGCCTTGCAGTACAAGTTTGCTCATTTAATTGATCAGATGATTGAAAATCAACTATATTAGACAAAAAGTCAACTTTGATCAATCTACAGTCAAACTTCAAGATTTTTGGTCAACATCAAAATTTTGAAGTCACATTCATCATTTGATCAAGGTTTTATCATGATTCATCAAGAAAACTCAAGATTCATCAAAAGTTAAAAGTTACTAAATTAGGGTTTTCTTAAGGAGAAGTCAATTGAAATTTGACCAAGCACAACTTTTGAATACTTCATCAGAAATTCCTAAACCAAAGCTCATTTCGAAGAAATTCAATTCTCTATAACTTTTCCTAACTAATCTCAAGGCCAAAAATGCTTCATTCGAGAGATATGAGCCAAAACATTACAGGTCATTTTGAAAGTCAACAAAAAGACATTTTTTGTCAAAGCAATTTACATGAAGATAATGGATTCAAATGAAAAGATGGTAAACATGAAAGTTTTAGGGTACATCTTGAGTTTTCCAAAAAGTCCAATATCACATTCATGTGATAAAATTTGAGAGAGTTATTATTTATGCAAGTTGGATATTTTTTGAGATATGCATGAAACCTCAATTGAGTAATTTTGAATTTTTAAGCTAGTGGGCCTAATTTTTTTAAGTGTAAACATGCTTATAACTTATTATAGGACCTCTAAGTACATTGGTGCATGACCATGATTTTTTATTTTATATATTTTAATTTTTATTTAATTTTTGCAAAAGAATTAAATCAAAATATTAGATAAATAGATTAAAGCATAGATGGACTTCAATTGGACCAGTCAAGGGCCCAAAAACCATGCCAACCATGCAAAGAAAACGTGTGGAACCAAGAAGGAAATAAATATTCATGTTTTGGAAATTTTTTGAAATAATTTTGGAAACAAATCATGCTTTGATCACACAAGATTTTTGCCACTTTTGTTAAACTAATCCTTGGCCCATAAATACACAACACATTCAAACCTCAAAGGACACGCATGTTGCAACTATAGATAAACCCTAAAGCTCACAAATTTTCTCAAAATTAGGGCACGGTCAAACCCTTATCTCCATCCGTTCTCAATCGATTTCAAGCATCACACTAGCCTCTTGAAGGTCCCAGGAGTTCATACCAATCATTATTGAAGCTCGTAGCATCCCAGATCATCATAACCAAGTATCGTCGTTTTTTGAACTTTCTTAAACTCAAACCCATAATTCATGCATTGTTGATTGATTTTATGCACATATACTTGTTTATAATGATGCTTGGACTTTTTTAGAATCATTGTTTGCAAGTTTTCATGCAGGAACAACCATTCACCATTATTAGGGTTCGAAGCTCTCATAGCTTCGAAACCTTAGCTACAGGTACTTCCAGACAAAAATAACAGCGCCATTAGATTCGTAACATGCCAAATACTCGGTCTAGGTTATTGGTTTTAATTTTTTGAATGATTATAGCAGGTTTTCAAAATCTTCTCACCGGAGAAGATGAGGCTGACTGCCACGGATGGCGGTTTGACTTCTCCAGACAGTGGTTAGAAGCTGCATGGCCAATCCTCCTTCGTTCATTGGTTAATTTTAATTGTCCGACCTCACACCAAGCGTGCATGTTTGTTTTATTTAGTTTATGATTTAATTTCATTATTTAATTATTGATGGTAGTGATATGAACGCGAAACAACAATGTCACAATTGGTAAGGGTGCTATATAGTATAGGTAAGGGCGTGGGTTCGAGTCCCAGCTTCAGCATTTTTTTCTCATCTTTTCCAAACCACACATATTCGTTTAATTTGTTTATATTTTTGTTGATACCTGATTCAATAGAAAGCAGCAATAGGTGGCATGGTGGAAAGATCATTGACTAGTGAAGGGAAGGGTGTGGGTTCAGGTCCCACCCCAATGCATTTGTTTTTTTTTCTTGTTTTTTTCTAACCCTAGTTTTCATTCCATTTTGATTAATTTAGCCATTAACATTAATAAACATTAACTAATTAGGTTTAGAATTGATTTTCACTTAATTAGACTTTTAGGTTTTATTTTTATTTTTAAAA